TAATGGATGCGCTTACCGTGAATAGTCTTACTGTCGTACGAAACTCTTTAACAGAGCATGGTTTCACGATAACGCTGATGCAGGCAGTTATTTATTTACGGTCAAAATACGCATGAATATTGAAGAGTTGGCGTGTTATGTTGCTATCCATTACGTTAACAGCTGCAATGCGTTGGTGATGGCTCTCACTAGTGCAGATAGTTATTTGAATTTGTTTCGCCTCGGTTTCCATACTTTCGTTCAAATTCCTTAGAACTCCACGCCTTTCTTGGCCATTCCAGTAGAAGGCGCTGCATCTGTCCATACTTGGCAATACTGATAAAACTACCGAATTCCTGTGAACAGCGTTCTAAAACTGATGTTCCCGTTTAGTAAGAAGAGCACCCCTCACAAAACAAAGCAGCTTTATTTTTCAACGCATGACCGTTTAATTTTCCCTCATCCTCTTTCTCTTACTCACCTGGAGTTTAGTTTCTCGTCATGCCTCACCGACCAAATTCCAATCAGTTCTTTTGTTCTTGAAAATGCAAGTGCCTATTTCTTGTTCCTCGGCTTTCCTCTCAGTCCCTTCACCTGCAGCTCCCTACCTCAGTTGTTTCGCTCCCTCCCTGATGCATAAGAGCATCACTTTTACTAATTTGTTATCAGTACCTAAAATTTGACGTGTGCTCTGTCGAGAAAAGAAATTCTTTGGTGCTTGTCTACTTACTTCGCAGTGGTTCTGAGTCTACTGAACAAGTGAGGCTAGCAGTCTCCATACAGGCACCCTTCCTTCCACTCGCTCTGTTTACTTAAACGCTGCTGTATTTAGGTGCTTGGATAGCTCTGGTTTATATTTGCCTAGTGAAAGAGACCATGTGGCCCATGGGGGACACAGTCGACTTTCTTTTATGCAGCGATCTGACTCGGTGCGGCTTTTGAGCTTTGCAGATTCTTTATATTATATCATTTCTTGAAACGTTTCGGAACAGCCTTAAACCACAAATACTGTTCTCAATTATTGCAGCCAGCAGAGTGACTACCAGACGGTACAGCATTAGGACTGCATAATTGGAGAACGACGCTGTGAAATGCAGCCGAACAGAGTATCAAAATATCTCCTTCCTAACAGTTTTTGCCTCTGGACTTAAAGGGATTTGGTGTCGCTCATCGCTTTCTCAGACAAGAAGCATCTGCGTCGGCTGATACTAGCGACAGGTACATTCGCATCTCAGTTAACACTCAGATAGATACGACGGACCAGGCACTACTAGTCGTAGCTGCCCATTTGTAACTTATGTTTTTGTTTTCGCTGTGCAGCAGTTGCGCATAACTATCAAATTGGCTCCATTATGTGCTAAAATGGTATCATTTACAAGAAGGAGAGGGTAAGGTGCGCTAAGTGACAAGAAAAGTATATTGCCTCCTTTTTTTTCGTATTCTTGATGCAAAAGAGAATCAAAACACACATTATCGAGATCATGTCTGTGTGTATTTGTTCAGATATCTCTCCGGGTTTTCAACTCAGCAACCGGAGAAATCCGAAAACTGAAGTTTTACGAGGATATTTCTTGTCCATGCGCGGCCCCACAAATGTAAAATCAGCTCTCACATCTTTCTGCTTTCCGTAAACGGACACGTGAAAATTGAAGGCCTTCAGAAGGCTTGTCTTTCGCAAGGTTCCCAGACGCAAAATTTTGTTCGAGAATGACTTTTTGCTCCGATGGATGATCGATATTCGGATTAGCACTGCTACCCGAGTTTCTCATGTCTGACTGTTCTTTCTCCCAGTTAGTCTGGTGATGGACTCTTTCAGCAAATATCCGACTGCACTGATGATAGATTTACATTTTACTAGCGTATTTCAATTTCTGATTGGGTACTGTTGTCCGAGGTTGATCCTGCTCGAGATAAAATGAGTGATTTGCCAGGCAAAAAATCATTGTCAACGGTGCTGCGCTGCCGAACGTTCGCCTTTCTCGTCTACGCTTTCTGAACTGGGTAAGTGGTGAACGCGTTCCTGGCAGAGGTGTTGTCGATCGGTTAGCTCTTTGCTCAAATTCGTCGTTCTCAGTTGGAGCGAAACACCGTTGACCTCATTGTAGCTCTTCATTTATCTCTCACCTGCTCGAAATGTTCGGTGAAGGGCACTTCTGTTAAGTACTTTTCTCGACACTGCGAAGAATTTTTAAACTCAACACAACTTAGTCATTGGCTTACGAAAGTCTACAGCGTGCATTCTCTGTGAAAATATTCCAGCCGCTCTTTGGGACCTCT